GGCTTGTAAGTATGATTCGATTCTTTTGCGGTTGGTTTGCTTTTCTCGGCACATACAAGTTGAGAGTTCCGACTCAACGGTTCGGTCCATGCAGTTTCAAATAGCAGGTCCTGGGTATTCACTTATTCTGCTACATTTGTCTTTGGTAGCAATGGAGACGGCTGTAGCACTTGTTTTCTTGCAGCAAACTGAATGGAAACAGTACGTTGTTGCAATGATTTTGCAGTACCTAGTCACACAAACACCATTTGGCGATACAGCAACCGTGCTTTCTGCTGTGTGGAGAAAAGCTAACTGAGTAAGCAGTGTCCACTGACCGTGGAGTGATCAAGGTACTGCAGCGCCTAACGAATTGTTCAGTCAAGCCACCAGAGCCCTGGCGGAGACGTTTATAGTATGTAGGTGCACGGAGAAAGTTAAATGCGGCGCACTTGCACGTGTTTCTTTGAAAAATTTACAATCTTTCCGGCCTTGGGTTCTTCAAGGCGTTAGGAGCGTCATCGCAGCCAAGCCTCATGCCCAGCTGCGTGCCTCGTGCCTGAACACCAAAAGGTGCTGCATTGCAAGTGCAATGGGAAATCAGTCTTCAGCTTGTACTAAAAAATCGAAATTCGTACAGAGCAGTGCTGTAATAAATAGCGCTTCACGAGGGCTGAAGTGGAAGGAAGTTTGGCAGGTTCTTAGAAAGCCCAGCAACAGGCGCTAGTTCGCCTATCGAAAGCATTGATTAACCCCGTATTCCTACAGTGCTCGTAAGCCTTCGAAGTAAACACCAAGCAGAGAATAAGACAATTAAAGAACTAGGAAGGAAATACACAGCGTTTGAAATACTTTGCGTGCACGCTGATTGGATGTCCAGCAGTGATTGAATCTTTTTGCATATAACGCTAATGCATAATCTTTAATTCTTGCCAAATTCTGATTTAAAATAGCGGCAGTAGTGTATATTCGGGGAAAATACGATCATATGCCTGATTACTTTTTCCTAAGCTTGGTCTGTTCCGCTGTGCTGTAGAGACCAAGTTTTCCGCTTTCTACATGCACATTCAGCAGTGTAGCTCATCAGTGATTGCTCTGATCACACCGTAACTGTCATTTGACAAACAGTTTCTCAGGAGCTTCGTTTAGTGCTTCAGTTTCAGCAGCAGCAACTGTATATGCTGCTGCTGTTGATGCTCCCCCTGCCCCGTCCGCTGCTGAGTCAAATTTGTAACCGGACCGCCACACCTCCTTGCACAGTGTGCGTGACGCATATTTCAGAGTGGCACTGTACTTCATGCATCATTGTTTTTTTCTAATAATTGCGGACATTCTGAGCTACATTCCGCGGTGCGTAGTGCTGAAGACTTGCAGCCGAAACACTGGGCGCAGAGGAAACCAGCCGCGGCAGCAGCTCTTTGCCAACATCTGCTCGTGCCCTAATTGGCTCGTTCGTTGCCCGCTCTGCTGAACCCCCAAGAACTAGTGTATAATTCGACCATATTTTCATGCTTAATTTTTAGGGAAGTCGTAATGTTGTAAGGGAAGGAGTGGGCAAGACGACAAGTCTATCGAGACACTGGTCAGGCTGCAGGCATCACCAGCGGCTTCAGCTGTCTCTGTTGCTCATTTAAACTACCAAACAAAGGAAATTCAAGACACGAAGACCAAGAAGATTAACATAGAGTCCGCTTTCGTGTTGGCGCGCAGTTGCAGCGATTGGCGCATCCACAGTGGCCACAGGTCCATTGGCTGCTTAGGCCTAGGGAGGTCCTGCATCTAATTTTGAACACCTCCCCCTTCCTCAAGCCTCAATAAAGAGCTCAATAGGAAAAAAGGGGACTCCGAGAGTCCGTTCAATGCTGGAAACCCTGCTATTGCAGGGTAGTCTGCACCGCAACGACAACAGTGACATCGACGCGTTGTCGCACAGTTAGTAGCGCCAACACATGCAGCAGAACTAGCTGCAGTGACAAGGACACGCTGCAGCACAGTTCCAGCATCAACACAAACAGCTGAACTGGCTGCAGTTTGGGAACTTCCATTGGAAGGCGACGGTGCAGCACCAGCGAAACCAACAACGCAAACAACAGACTGCCGCTCGGCAGCGCCAACAACAGTGGCATTATTCAGTCGCAACAGCATCAGCAGCAGGCTTCTGAGCAGCTTCGACAGCTATCACCGGGCCACAAGAAGCGACAGCGAATATGTCAGATTTTCAACTGCGTGAGGAAGAGCCTGTGGACGGCCGCACGATTGACGACATCGTTGACGGCGTGGCAGAGGACCTCGGGCTTTCTCGGGACGCACACTTAGAGGTGAAGCTACACCTCCGGCAAAACTACATCAGGTCCATTCAGGCAAGTTTTTCCAAATAGTTACTGAGCAAAGTAACTAGCAAATGCGCACTGCGTGGACTGCACTGCAGCTGTAGCCGTAGTGCAGCTGCTGCAGCAAATGTGCAGCTGCTGCAGCAAATGTGCAGCTGCTGCAGATACCGAAGCGTCCGACCTTGATTTTTATTGCTTCGTGATGTGGCCTCTAATTTTCCCCTTCTTCGGTATCATCACATCTCTATTCCTTTTTCTGCACAGTCATTCTTCGTTTGTTTGTCTCTGTCTTTTCTTTGTTTCTAAGTGTCGTGCCTTGCCCTTAATTATCAGATTCCACTGCCTTTACACCTTCGTCCCTATATGCATGAGCCACTAGACCACAAAGCGCAAAGCATGGGCCTCTGTATCTGCATTGCTCAGGCCCTGGAAGATGCTTTAAAGGATAAGAAGCTCTGTGGTGTAGTTCACCCTTACGTTGCCGATGCTCTCTTGAACAGACTTCGCAACAAACCCAATGAAACCTTTGAGTTTGATGGTGATATATCCGACAACAGCATAGACGGAAGCATCAGTGGTAGTAGACAGTAATAGTTTGGGGAGCAGCAGCTCGATAACAGTGCGCAGTAGGAGCACCCGCATGAGGTTAATGAAGCGGTCGCCGTTAGCCAAGAGATGCGGTGAAACAAGCAGCAGCAAATGCTGCCGCTAAAGCAGGGGCCGGACAACGTTTTAAGGATTTTTGTGGGGCCTGCTTGCTGCAGTATATCCTGAGGTCCGGCTGGAAACACGAAACCCGACGCACTTCAAGAACCTTGCCATCTTCGTTCATCGAGTGGCTCCAATACCAGGCAGCAACAAGGGCAAGATTGGTGAGCAACAGGTCACTGACCAGGAAAATTTGCAGCAGCAGAGCAGTAGTGGCGGCATCTAAGTGCCATGTATGTGTAGGCTGCAGGCTCTATGATATGTTGGAGCTCGTATCATGCGGTGCTTGGAGTAATTGTCTTCTCTTGCTGCTGTGGCTGTTGCTGCTTTTAATCTCGTTGCTGTAGCTGTTTTGCGTGCAGCTTGCACCTGGGCTTTTGATGTCGACCCGTTGGAGTACAGCGTGTCTGAATTGAAAGCTCGCCTAGAGCGCCTCGCTTTAACTAAGATGGAGCACATGCGCTTGGTTTTTAACGGCTTTACTTTGACAGCTACAAATTCATTGGCTGACTACGATATACAAGGGGGCGACAGCCTGTACTTGTATACAGTGAAGGACCCAAACGAAACAACAGTTGTCTGCTGTACCACGGACGAGTTAACCCATACAAAGCAAATAGACCGTGGCTGCGGTTCTGGCTGTGGCACTTGTTCAGGCTTTTGTTGCGGCGCTCCTGTTGTTGGTGCCGGTGGCGGCGTGTGTGCTCCGCAGTGTTGTGCTAGTACGCGGCACCAAGTACCACCTCACATCTGTGGGGCTCCTGCCGCCACTGCTATATCTGGCTGCTGCTGCCCCTGTGGGCGGTGTACTGTTTCCCAAACCGTCCTGGCCAAGCCGTACGCCTGTCACATACAGCGCTGCCTTTGCGGCAGCTGCGTAGCCACGTCCGTATCGCCCATCAACAGACGCTGCAATGAAGCAGCAGCCCACATGACATAGATAGCCTGCTGGCGCTGCACAGACGCAGCAGCGCAGGAATCAAGGCCGCAGTAGCTGCCGCTCTCTGGTCCACTGCACCGACAGGAACAGCAGCTGCTGGTTTTGCTGTCACGCAGGGCGCAGCAGCAACTGCACTTACGTCGGGAGTTTCTGTGGCTACTATGGCAGAAAAGTTGCTTCGTAATGGTTTTTATCAGGGTGAGACATGCTCCAAAGGAGAGTGCTACTCGCAGCACCCGCTGCAGACGCTGCTAAGTGTATATTTGGACATGCGACTTTGTGAGCAGAGCCTCTCCTCCTTAACTGTTGTAAGCCAGATTGGGTCTGGCGTGCTAACTAGCTACATATTTTTTGAGATTTCTGGTGCATTGGTCACTTCGCACTGTAGTGAAGTAACAGTTGACCCTGCATGGAGCGCAGAGCTTGCGAGCAGAGCCCTATTTATTTCCCCAGCGGAGGTGGCTCTTGTTCATGAATTCTAAGAAGCATAGCTCCTTCATAGCTGCAGTGGAAGTGGTGCGCTGCATCTCGCCAGCCTGCTATTGCTTCACACCAAAAACGCAGAGGTCAGACTAAAAGCAGAGGGCATGCTAAATGAGTGAAGAAAAGCGAAAGACAGAATAAGGTGACAGCCAGACAACGAGTAAGAAGAGCACAACACCAGGGCAAGAACACGCGATAGAACACGTGCGTGCGTGCACCTTCGTTTCCATTCTATTAATACACAGATGCAAGCACACAAACATGTTCCGCCACATACACGAACACGAGGACGCACGCTCATGTGCATGCAGACATGGAGAAGCACAAGATACTGATGACTACATTCGTACATGTGCACATGTGCACATCTGCACGCATACATTTGGGACCTACAGAATCTGCGGCGCAATAGTGACATCTGTAGCAGGATAGTTGCTCGCATTGGTCTTAGAGATAAACACGAAGTCTCTTGCTGCGACCCTCAGCAGAAAACGAAGACGCAGCGTATGCCGCTCGCTGCGGCTACTAGTATGCTAGTAGATTGTCGCTGTTAGATGACCTCACGCTTCGTCTTTGTCATAAATGGGTATTTCCGGATAAGCGAACGGGTCTTGCTTCTTGTCGACCCTATTAAGCACTAAGGGGTAAACTTTACCCTCCACAGGGACAAACGTAGGGTAGGGTAGGGGCACGTGGCGGTTCCGTTGGTGATGCGTCTTACCACGCGCGTCGCTAATTTTCAAAACCGAACCCACTCCACCAGGGACACAACCTGCCAAAGCAGCAACAGCGGCAGGACCTACTGGAAAATTACTACAGGAGTAGCGAGTGGATATGAGTGACAGTAACTTAACTGACATACAGACCAACAGAACAAGGCAGGAAAAGCGTGGTATGATGACGTAGAACAACTCCGTTTCTAATCAGTTTCGCATGTCTACTGTTTTTGCTATTGCCTCTAGTGTCGCCGTCGCTTTCTTCCCCGCCTCCTTGCTTCATTCGTTTGCCGTGTCCTCTGGATCACTATCTTTCTCTGTCTGTGTCTATTGTACCTACTGCATCCGCGGCTGCCTCTTTCCCTCATTTCTATTCCTTCCTCTGCCTCTATCTCTACCTTGCGTATCGCTCTACACCTGTGCATCCAGTGGCGCATTACTTTTTGTCTAGCTCACCCTTGAGAAAAATCAGATTTCTGTCGTTTTGTATCCTGAGCACTTGGCAATTCACAACGCGTGGATCGGGTCCCACGTGTCCTGCCATCTTCTTGAACTTCCAAACGACATTAACTGTTTTGCTTTGGCCAATACTGCCGTGAGAACGATGTGCCTTGCTCTCAGTACCGTGACTTGCGTTTTGCCCTGCAACATCAACATGAGAGCAGAAAAAGCTTCTGGTGGCCAGTGCAACAAAAAAGGAATGCCATCATCAGCAGTGGTGTTTGCACAACAGCCATGAAGTAGCACAGGCGACACCAGCAGCATCCAACAAGCTATCAGCAGTAGCAGCTGCCAACCTTTAAATCCCCATCGCTTGACTGGGCCCTGGAATCCCTTCGCAGTGCTCCAGCCCGAGACAAAACACCACTGCCCAGGCACAAAGTGCATTGCACTCAATTCCACACCCGGAGGGAGGAGACAGTCCGACGATACCTAAAACGAGGACAGAGGCAGACGCAGACACAGATCTCCAACACACTGCTCAAACTACCGAAGCCTTCAGCAAATACAAAATATTCACAAAAAGCTGTAGGGCAGACAGGCGCATATGCACAGCATTCAACTGTTTGCCTTTTAGGGAGTAAGCCGTCATTCCCTAATGTTCGGCGTTGTTCATGTGCCTCTGTACTAATTCACTTCCGTTTTCACTTGTCAGTTAACTTTTGAGAATTAATTCTTCCTCCTGTTGACTTTCGCTCACCTTAAATTCGGCAGTGACTGCTTTGGGCTCGACCCCAAGAGAAATAAAACGACACAGATTGGGCCGAGAGGTCCTGAGGGGTGATCGGTAGCCTATCAAGGCAAAACACAAGGCAATCGACGTAAAAGAGAATCTCAAACCTGATGGTAAATAAACAAACGACTGTGCCTAACAGAGAAAAGCATAAGCAAGGAAGAATCGAGAAAAGATGCAAAAAGTTCAACAGAACACGAGCATTCAACCAAAAAAGAGTCAATACGGAAGAAAACCCAGTAATGAGCAAATTTGAAAACATACAAAACAACAAACACACACAAGCAAACACAATAACAAACGCCATGAGGGCTAAGCACCTCAAGAACCAACAAACTACCAGCAGCAGCAGTAGCAAGACCACCGGCAACAGCATCATTACCTAGTCCAAGCACGCATGCCTCATAGCCGTGGCTGCTGAGTGTCTTCTGCTGCAGAACAATGCAGCGGTCGATCTGGCAAACGGTCACCGCATGGCGCTCACCCCAGCTATCCCAAAGAGACATCATTCCCACCTTGTACGCCAAAACACCGCAGCTGTTGAATAAAGCAGAGACACAAAACAGAAAAAAACATACAGAAGAAGCAGGAGATGAAGGTCTGAGCATTCAAAGACTGGGGAGGCGGGAGGATGCAAACGACGCAGATAAAAGGCACAAATGGGAATGTGGCTACGGCATACACATTGCTTACCACTTGTACTCCATTTGGGAAGAGACGACAAAATGCGCTGGCGGTTAAAATCATACAACAGAGAAACAAACTTAAGAGGATACGAGAAAGAAAATGAAGAAAAACAAGCAGGGAAGTGGAAATACACAGGATAAAAAATGACGCGGTAACATACCTTGCCCACAGAAAGTGCCACGACTCTGTGGTAATAAAGCAAGAAAAGGCGCAAAGAAAGACATATGGAAGACTCCAGAAGAGAGGTGGGGCAGACAGAAGATGAGCAGAAGCTTGGTGAAGCTCAAGTACTAGATGAACAGTAAACATGAGAGCGGCGAAACGAGCTGTTACAAACAAAGCTAGCCCAGCCACTCCGTGAGTCAAGACACCTGGACTATACTGCACGAAAGACTCAAAAAACGAAGCACAGCGAGGCCCGTCCTACTCTACGCCCGGGAACACTGCAACTATAGGAGAGACAAAAGAAGCAGAGATAAAAACAGGAAAAAAGCACGAAAAAAGGCTACCTCGCAACGGTAAGGAGTATTGCAAACTCGAAGCAAAACCACAATCCTCACCAATTGCTGAAAAACATAATTTGAGGAAAAGGAGATACATGACGGAGTGAGAGAAAACAAGCAGCGCGACACGCAGAGACGGACATATGGAAAGAAACTGCGTGCATTCATGTTCCGCGGCCCATTAAAATGACGCACAGAAAGCGGCAGCAGCAGCAGCAGCAGCCTCATTAGCAGCGCGACTCAACACAGTAGCACCAAGAGCAGCAGTAAGAGCTCACCGTCTGCTGTTCCATGCTGGAGTGATTTGCTTCAGTTCCGGATGCACGCAGTCCTTAGGTATTGTTCTGCCGCCCTCAAGTTCCGCTGCAGCAGCAGCAGCGAAAGAAACAGCAGCTGCCGCAGTAGGGCCGGCAGCAGCAAACCCTTCATCTGAGGCAGCCGCAAGTGACTCTGCATTCTGGTGCCCCTCCCTAATCAGCTTGTCCACTCGTGCCACCCAACGGCTGCGGCTGCTGCTGCGCCCTATATGACTCCAGGATCTCCTCCCTATTGTGCTACTGCTGCTGCTGCAGCTGCTGCTGCTTTTGCCGCCACTCTTTGTGCTGAACTGCCTTATCTTTTGCAGTGCAGCGGCGCTGCTTGTGTGGTCACTATCAGTGACCATGCTGCGTGAGGATACTGAGGGGTGCACCGTATGTACGTCCCATCTCCTGCTCGAACGGCAACAGTTCCTTTTGCCGTCGCAGCTGGTGCTGCGGCTATTACGCTCTCTGGTTAGCACATTCCACTGCGTACGAGCCAGAAGCCGGCGCGCAGCAGCAGCAGCACTTGCAGAAGCAGCTGCTGATATATACGTTGCTGGTCTCACTGCTGCAGGTAACAGCATGATGACTACCGTACCCCTAACCCGCGAGCACAAACCCTTGAGGGGCCCCCGTGGGATCTAGGGATTCGTCCGCGGGCTGACTGATCCTTGAGCCAAAGTCGAAATCAAATGAAATACTTAATTATATCGGTGTTGAGGCGCAGCAGCAACACCGGCAAGAATTACAGAGTTTGATCCGCAGCCGCCGCATGCGGGCTGGGGGGCCCAGCAGCAGCTGCGTCAATAGAGGCCACGGCAATAGAGTAGCCATGATATTCTTCATCTCCCCTAAATTATCATTAGGGTTCTCCATTGACTTGCCGCTGCGGCAAAAAAACGGGAAAAGAGGGAAGTCGCCGGAGGCAGCAAACCAATTTCAGCACCCGAAGCAATAGTGGCAACGGAAGCAGCAGCAGGAGAGGCAGCAGAACACATATCAGGACTGTGAGCAAACGCCGCATATGCTCGTGCATTTTCTGCGTGCCGCAGCAGCAACTGCTATCCTATCAGCCGCAGCTGCTGCAGGGTTGATTGCACTGCCCTTGATATTATAGATAGTAGATAGGATACGGCCAGTAAAACAGCGGCAAGGCTCAGTTTACAGCAGCATTAGCTGCTGCTGCAGCAGCAACAACGCATCCTCGAGCCACAGGTGCCCACAAGCAGCAGCAGCAGCAGCAGCTCGCCGCTCAACAGGAACAACCTCATCTAGTGCCACCTGATCACCTACTACAGCCCCGACAGCAGTAGCACCATCCTCGTATTCAGAAGGAGCAGCAAAGGCGATTCAAATAGTGGCAACGCTAACAATCAGCAGCAGCAGCTGCATTACAAGCAAGAGCAGCAGGAACAGCAACAGCATTGGTGACAATGTCTCGCTCCGGCCCCTTGGTGTATTTAGACATATCGATCGGCACGCAGCCTGCGGGCCGTCTTGTGTTCAAATTGTTCTCTGATGTAACTCCAAAAGCGGCGGAGAACTTCAGAGGCCTAGCTACAGGTACTCATTCTTGCATGCATGCGGATGTCTAAGTGTCTGCTTCTATTTGCATACGCGTACATAGAAACGTATGTACTAACACGTGTACATAAGAGCATTTTCTTTTGCATTCGTTCTCCGTCTGTTTGCCTATCTTCTCCCACAGTGTCAAGCTGGCTGGGTTGTTTGAGGTGCTGTTACGCGAGTGGCTGTATTGCACTGCTCGCTCTTCACCTTTGCCTCTACCTCCACGTGGGGCTGACGTTCTTCCTTTATTGAACTCCGTTATTTATTTGTTAGCGGTTTTTTTGTCTGTGTCTGTGATCGCATTTTTGTGAGTTTCCCCGCCGGTGTTTTCTCACGTGTTACTGTCCTTGAGCGTCTGCTTGGGTTTCGTGTCCCCCACACTAGAAACTAGTTTTTCTGCTTTTTTGTATCCATTATATACTACCCCATGCAAAATGCCCGCCCCTCGCATCTCTTTTTTATTTGTGTCCTGTTCGCTCCACTCTTAGCCTCGTAACAACTCGCCTCATGTACGTACGATGCCAAGTTTACCAAATCAGTACTCGCCTTTTGTATGTACTGGGCCAAGTTTACCAAATCAGTACACAAAATGTCTTCTGAATTCATTTCTGTTTTCGCCTGCTGTACTCAGGGGAGTACGGCGTGAGCAAGGCCTCAGGCAAGCCCCTGTGCTACCGCGGCTGCCGCTTCTTTCGGTCCGTTTCTGGCGTTCTGCTGCAGAGTGGCGACTTCATCACCAATGACGGCACTTCAGGCGAGAGCATATGGGGGGGGCCTTTCAACGACGAGAGCTTCCAACGGAGGCATGCGCATGCTGGTGAGGCATACCGGTGTCCGTAAACATGTAGATTTCTCTGTCCGTGTAGTGTACGTATATCTCTGTCTGGATTTGTGTAAGTAAATGCCTACTTGGCTTACCTGTCTGAATGCCTGCGTCTGTGTGTTCTTGTCTGCTTATTCATCTGGACTCACGCCGACAGTACGTATGCCTGTGAACATGTATATATACGAACATGTAAAGGTGTTTGTACGTTTATGTTTGTTTCATGTGCAACTTAATGCTGTATGTGTACGTAAAGTAGCTGTATGCGCACAAAGTCTACATATACGATATTTATATCAGGCTGTAAAACGGCGGCATGTGTGTAGTTTGATTGGTACATAACTTTATCTGCACACGCGAGTAAGTATATGTACGGATGCACAAGTACAAATATGCGTTTACGTGCACCATTTATTCATAAATATGTACACATAATACGATAAGTGTGACACGATAAATGTGCACCTACGATTGTTTTTATGAAGTCCTGTTTGTCTGCTCTTAGGCTGTTTGAGCATGGCTAACAACGGCCGCCACACCAACACGTCCCAGTTTTTCATAACTCTTAAAAAGGCCCCGCAGTTCGATGGCAAACATCAAGTGATCGGACAGTTAGTGGACGGGATACAAGTGCTGCGTGCCATGCAGCTCGTACCTGTGCACTCCAATTCACAAGTACCACGAGTTGATATTGTCATTACAGGTAAAAATGACAATGCAGGAAATAGTTTACTTGTTGTAAAGAATGGGATCTAGCTGGAAACACCAAATTATTGTGATGGGGTAGCTTCTAGACACACAGCTGTACTGAATTTTGGCTGCAGAGCCACTCAGAAAATGCAGTTTACAGTTTCCCACTATGGTTAGTCGAGTAGTCAAATGAAGCAGCTAGTCCGAAGAATTGCGAATAGTGCGAATAGTGCCGATGTGTCAGTGCCTCCCTTTGTCGTCTACAGTGTATTGGTCTGTAATTTGATACTTCTCTTCTGCTGTCTCCGAATCTGCCTTTATTTGTGTCACTATGGGTTTGTTTGTCTTCTTTGCTGTTTCTGGTATACCCTTTTTGCCCAGCTTGTGGGCAGTTGGCATCCCCTGCTCTTCTTCGAAATGCCTCCATGTCTGCTGTCCGAACGCAACTGGACACGCTGATGAAGAAACACGAACGGGAACTTAAAAAACAAGCAGAGGACTCCAGGAAACTTAAAGGCAAGCTGCTGCTGCTGTTGAGTTTGCTGGTGCTGCCGTCGGCGCAGTGGATACTGTAGCAACTGTTCTGGGGCTGCAGCATAACCCAGTTCTGCAGCGCGGCAGAGTGCAGAGGCACCGACGAGCTGCTGTATCTGATGATACTGTCCCTTTGGGTGCTGCTGCTTCTGCTGTTCCTTTCAACGCCTTCGGTGCTGTGCTGTTGCTGCGGCTGCTGATGCATCATGCAGCAGGCACCCCACAAGTGTGTGATATTTCGTTTGCTTATCTACTCATTGCTCATGTATCTGTGTGGCGCTTGTGCCGTTTAGGGAGTGACGAGGAGTCAGTCAGCAGCAGCACTGACAGTGAGACGGAGGCGCCGTCAAGAAGAGACAAACGACGGAGGCAAGAAAGGAAGAGGCAACGGTTCCTGGAAAGCAGCACATATGCTGCTCAGCAGGCCATGGAAAAGGTGCTAGCAGGGGTGCCACTGCTCCAGCAGTTGCAGCCAGAAGCAGCACTAGCAGAAGAGCGAGCGGTTGCACTCTACGAAGGAGACAGCAGCAACAGCGAAGAGGAAGAAGAAGCGAAGCAGCGGCAAAAAACAGAAGCAACAGAAGCTGCTGCCGTTGACCCGCTCGGCAAGCTGCTGCTGCAGCTCGATGAGGAAGCAGGCTCGCAAACAGATGAAGACACCACTGCAGCTGCAGCAGCAGATGGTGAAAGTGCTGGCACGTCAGCAGCGCGCGCGTTGATCTTAGCGAGGAAGCAAAGGCTGCTGTCTCTCCGTCTGCAGCTTAATCAGGGTCGAGCGATGAACACTAAAGAGGTAGGAAAGAGAGACAACCGCCACATGCATGCGACAGCGGAAGCAGCACCAACTCCTGCAGCTTCTGCTGTTGCTGCTGTGTGCATGTAGCTGAAAGAGCCGCAGCGGCCTCGTAGTGTCTGTGCCTCCTTCCTTTGACTGCTCCCTAGGTAATAGAAGAGAAACGCCAGTGGGAGACTCCAGCAGCAGCAGCAGCAGCAGCAGTCGCAGAAGCTCGTCAGGCGTACAAGCGCCTGCAGCAGGCCCCAATGTATCGGCTGTATAAGGAGGAAACCGAGGCTGCAGCAGCGGCGGAAGGAGCCAACTCCGCAAGAACGGCAGAGTCTTCAGGGTCTGCTGTAACGGGAGCCACCTCTGCAGCAACAAGTGCAGCAGTTGCGGCAGCAGCATCGAGTGACGATGAAGAGACTGGGGCACCCGGGCGCCGCAAAGGCAAGGGCGGTCGTCGCAATGTCCTAGATGAGCCGTTGGCGTTTTCTGAAGATGCCCAAAGGATGCAGAAGAAGAAAGGAAAGAGTAATTTTGGGTGGAATGTATTTAATGAAGACGCGCTTTATAGAGCACACAAAAAGAGGTGATGATGCTGCAGCGGCTGTTGTGCTGCTGCTGTTGGCGGAGCTGCTGCCGGCGGACCTGCTGGTGCAGGTGATGGTGTCGATAAGGATGGCACCAACGATAACGCTGTTGTGACGCTGATGGTAGCAAAACAGATGATGCTGATGACTGGTTTCTTGCTGCTGTCGACTTTGCTTTTTCCTGCGTTGCTGCTGTAGCTGCTTATTATTCTTCTGCAAGGGCTGCATGTGCTGCTGTGCTTGGCGCCACTTTTGCTCTTGCTGGGTGCTTTTGTCAGGATTGGTAATCCTGCCGTCGGTGGGATTGCTGTTTCTGTTCCTATGAATGCTGCATTTTGCAGGCGCTGTAGTACTGATGGTGTTATTGCTGTAGTTATTCTGTGTCCGCTGCTGTTGCTGCTTCTTTAGACTTTCTGAGGTGCCGCTGCGAGCTGACGAGTACAGGCAGCAGCAAGAGTCTCTCGGGGATGCCTTTTGGGATCCGAACTTAGTGTTATCTCACCCGCATCACAAGGTTAGTCTTGTCTTGCACTTGTGTGTTTTATTTGTACACTTCCTCCGCTTTGGTGCTTGATTTCTCTTGTTTCTTTGTGTTTTAGACACATGGCGTGACCGTGCGCTCATAGATCATTTGTGGCTACTTGCACTTAATCATGCTTGCAGATGGATCGCAGCGTACAATAAAGATTACATACTCGAAAATGCATTTATATATACCCGAAAATGTATATATATGTTTATATTCACGTGAACATGCGTGAATCTTTGCTGAAGTGCAAATTTGCACTTTGCATGCACCACGGTAGCACGTGCTGGCTACACATTCCAGGCTATGTAGTCCAAGAGAGAGGACAGCGAAGGACGAGTGACTAATGAGGAGGAGGCAAACTTATAAATTAGGATTCTACTTCTGCCCCTTGCTGCCCACACCCGAAGCCCTACCAGGTACAGATAAAGTTAACTCCTGCTTTTGTGTGCAGCCTTCTGCTGCTGCTCTGGAGCGTCTTGCTGCGTCTGTCGCCGCTGCTAAAAGCCGACGCAGTATGTTCTCGCGGCGTCGTATGTTCAACGAAGATGCCGATGTTAGTTACATCAATGAGAGAAACAGAATATTCAACAACAAATTGGAGAGGAGCTTCGACACAAGAGAGATCAAGCAGAACTTCGAAAGAGGAACAGCTCTGTGAGCAAGGGAGAGCGAAGGAACAGCTCCTCTTTGGTTTCTTTTCAATTCATCCTTTCTTCTTGCTTGTCCTTTCTAACCTCCGCTGCCCATTTTTCTGTCGTTTCTTCTGTCTTTGCGCTCTGCACCCCTCCAGAAATCGGCAAATAAGTGATGCGAGCTTGTACATTCTCCTCTTTTCTTCGCCGTTGCTAATTCGTTCGCTCGTTTCTTTATCCCTGTAGGGGCCTGTCTGCCATTCGGTCTCTTCGTTATTGTTCTTTCCCGTGTTTACACACAAATGCCTCGTGTTTCTCTTCATCTGTCGCTGTTTCCCAGCCCTGCATGCCTTTTTGTCCCTTTGTCTCTGCCTTTGACCGTATTTACGGATTGCCTTGCTGCGGCTGCTGCTGTGGCAGCCGCAGCAGCTGGGAATTCAGTGTTACTTTTAGTAACTTGGAATTTGTCAGCTTCCACAGTGAGCTTTTTGTGCTAAGAACTGCCTACAAGGTTTTAGCATTAAAGGCGCTCGAATTGCTGCTTCACAGGATTAAGAACAACAGACAGAGGCTGGAAAGCTTGCAGAGCTGGTGCTCAAGGATCTAGTGCCTACGATTTAGCCTATCTGTATCCGTAGGTTGAACTGTACTGTAGCTGGGGATCTAGCTTCCCTGTACCCAAGAGAAACCGCAACAGCGTAAGGATACATGGGCGGCATTAAGACAACTGCTTTTTATCTCTTTAGAGGTGTCACGGGCCTAACCCTGTCCCCGGACGCTGGACCGAAAATCTTCAGAACTAGATGGTATCTTGGCTGGTGCTTTCGTGGCAGCGTGGACGGGGTTGAGATAATACGTTTCCCTATATTTGGCATTCCCAGGCCCAGTGCACGGTTTACAGTTTAGAACGGATGTAACGACACAAGACTCTACAGGATAGGGGATTCGGCAGCTGCAACATCTGAACAGGACTTCAGATTTGTTGCCAGAGAAGAAACCTCGAGTGCCTCTACCGGAGAGACCAAATGAGGGTTCGTCAGTTTTCGCTTGCTGTTGCTCTAGACCCCCAGTGCAGACCCTGAAGCCTACTTGATCCATTGTATAGACCTTCCACCCAACCGTGTTAACAGTGGGAGCATGTGGGGCGGAGCAGCAGCCTCTCTTTAGACTAACGCGTGTACCACGAAAGAGAACTTTCATGAAATATACCACAAACGCGCCTTCGCGAGTACTAATGCTGAATCGACTTGAACGATCCCAGGCTGGAGTAGCTCAAACAAAGCAGAGGAGGTGATTTGGGGAAAAGTAAAACAAACATGTATAGGAACAGTTGCAGATCTATTGAGTGCAGGAACTCAAGAGCAAGGTTCACCGGTGAGCCTTTAAGATCAGATAAGAGAATGGATCGTATGTTTCCGACCAACTCTAGTTTTTTTATAAGAAGCTCAACAAAAGAGTCAGTAAGGGGAGATTCAGGCCCTCCAACATAAGAGAGAGATCAACTCTGGGCGCGCGTGTCTCGACGTCAGCAGGAGCAGAAGCAGCTCCGGTAGCTGCAGGAACAGTAACAGCTGTAATGGGTTATCATTTACTGTAAGTTGATACTGGAAAAAATACAGGGGCAAATGCTACGGTTTATCTCTACGTTGCTCCCGTAGAGTGGCTGTGGCTGTTCCTACTGCTGCTGGTGTTGCCATGCTGAAGGCCCCATGCCGTCAAACACTACTTTACACCAGCCGCATTGTCTTGTTTTACTTATTTTAGCTCCTTTCGTTTTTTATCGTTTTATTATTTCCCTTCTTGTGCTCTCACAAAATAGTTTATCAAGATCTGCTAGCCTCATTCGGTGCCTCAGGGTCGCATCGCCGTGGGCCCTGAGCAACAGCAGCAGCTGCAGGAGCAGCAGTAGCATCCGCAACTGCAGCAACAACACGAATGGCAGCAGCAGAAGCTAAAGGATAGTCAGGAAATTTAATAGTAAGGTCGGCAGTAAAGGCAGCATAGGCCGCCAGCAGCAGAAGCATACACAGCAGCAGCAGCCAGTACAGGAAAAACGGCAGTCGCTCACTGAGCAGAAGCACTAGGAGCAACAGGAGTGTAAGGGTGCGAGCAACACTAAGCAGCATCAGCAGCAGCTACGCGCAAATGGCCGCGCTTTGCCCAGTAGCAATGGCAGCAGCAGCAGCAGCAGCAGCTGCCGTTGCAGTTTCGGCTGCAGGGTCGTCTGTTGAGGACGCAACTATCAACACTTCTTCCGAGGAAGTAGCAGCAGCAGCAGAATTGGAAGCAGCAATAGCAAAGCACAGCAGCAGCGACAGCTCCTCCACTGCGCCTCACGGGGATATTTGCATCAATATCCATTTGTTGCGTCATGCAGGTAAGTCCCACCAGCTCTATAAGTGCTGCCGTTATCGCTATTAGATTCGCTTCTATTGCTGCTGCTGCTGTTGTTTTGCTGCTGCTGGTACTGCACTCCGTGTCGCTTCTGTTGCACGTGAGTCCCAGTGCTGCCGCAACAGGCGACAGCTGCAAGAACAGCTGCTGCTGCTGTTGCTGTTGCTGATTCTGCTGCAGAAGGCACTCACAATGTGGGAGCGCGTGACAGGTAAACTTCAGCTTGCAAAGCCCAAACACCTTAACGCTCATTGGGCAATTCTTCTGTAGCCAAAAAACTGCTTTTAGGATTCTGGAACAGCAGCAAGCTTATTTCATCTGCTTGCTACATTCATGACAGGCTGCTGCTGCTACTGCTGCTGCTATTGCTGCTGCTACTGCTGCTTCAGGCCGCCTGGGCAGAGCTGCGACTGGGTATATTCTCAGCCACAGCATTTCGATGCTGACCTGTCAGAAGCAGGTTTGCTGCAGGCTCGAGCAGCAGGACTCCGAATGCCGGAGCAGTTGCTGCTGGCGCTGCAGCAGCAGCAGCAGCGGCAAGGGTACTGCTGCTGCTGCCCTGCTGCTGCTGTCTACACGAGCTCACTTAGGCGAACCATTCGCACTGCGTACGAGACCCTTAAAACGGCCTTAGCCACTCCTTCAGCAGCAACAACAGACACAGCAGCAGCTTCACGAGAAGCCTCGCTAGCAGCAGAAGCAGCAGGCACGGGTACGCCGGCAGCAGCAACAGCAGCAGGAGTAGCAGAGCCATTGGACATCCCAGTGACGGCTTTAGAGGAGACAAGGGAGTGGGCAGGAGGAAACCATTGCTGCGACGGGAGGCATCCGTAGGCGGTGCAGCAGCCGTAGCAGCAGCAACTGGAGAAGTAGCTTCTCCAGAATTAGCGACAGCAGCAGCAGAGGCAGCATTCACGACAGTAGCAGCAGCAGCAGCAGCAAAACCTGTCCCCGCAGCAGCATCAGTGCCAGCAGCGTCAGCAGTAGGGGCAGTTGCTGCAGCAGCAGCAGCAACAATGCTGTTATGGTATTGTGTCTGCTTAGACTGAAGGAGCAAGCTCGGTGGGCATCTCAACTCTTCAAGAATATTTCCTTCTCTCCAAAGATAGAAGGTCAGAAATAGCGGCAAATACATTTGTTTCTTTGCCTCTTTTTTGTTTGTTTGTATATTTTTTCTTTCATTTGAATCTGGATTTCTGTTTCCCTCTGTACTTATTTGCATCTGGTGCTGCATCCATTCGTTTGGTTTGGTATCCTTCGAGTACTTGTGTCTTTCTGTTTGTCTTCTGTTGTAATTTGTTTTTCATATTTTGTTTCTGCACCGGCTAGTCACGTTTATTTCTATGTTTATTTATCTTTCTCACTTTCTTTGGTCTTTTCATGTTTACCCACGGACTAGCCTTTGCATTGCTCTCTCCGCGCCAGCAGCTGTTGCTGCTGCTGCTGCTGCTGCTGTTACTGCGAATGTCTCACAGCCGACCCGTTGCCTCCCGCAATGCCTAGAGAGAGCCGCCAGGCCATGGAGGAGCGTTGCATCCTCTTCCTGCAGCGCCTGCAAAACCTAGGAACAGCAGCAGCAGCGGCCGTAGCAGCAGCCAGCGCAGCAGCAGGAAAGAAGGGCCAATTTATGTGCCCTCGCTGCAGCAAACCGTTTCCTGCTCATTTCAAAGACACCAGCACCACCTGCATCAGCAACGGCGACAGCCGCAACGGCAGAGCCAGCAACGGCAGCAGCCGCAGCAGTAACAGCGGCAGCAGCAGCAAGGTGAGCATAGAAATCATGTGCGTCTGCCACAGCGCATGGACCCGCTTCTTATTTGGTTTGTTGTCTCTTTTCCCTCCTTCGTTTCGGGGACTGCACAACTGCGAATGGCGAAGCGTGCAAATACAACTGAGTGAACTTCAGGCGCTAATACCCAAGCTGAAGAAAAAGGTAAGAGTTGCAGACCCCATAGATCCCTCGTATTTAAATAGTATCAAAGATAGCACGTAGGGTGGGAATGACAGCAATGATTTTCTTCTTAGCTGCACCTATCTCCCACCTGCAGGCACAGAAGCCCCGGGAATTGTTTCCGTTCTCAACACTACCATTTCAAACCCCGGGGGCCCCCGCAGCTCCCTTGGAGGCCCCCGTGGAGAGTTTCACGAAGGTAACACACACAGCAGCAGCAGCAGAAAGAACAGAAGCAACGGAAAGAACAAATCATTGGCAGATTTCCCTCCTCTCTGCTTTATTGGGGCTGCAAGCGCAGCAGCCGCTGACCATCCTTGTCTACCCTCCTGCTGGGGCCCCCCAAGGGTCCCATCACGGGTCTCCTGGAGGGTCTGTTGAGAGATCTTCCCAGGGGGCCCCTCAAGGGCCACCTTCAGAGGCTGCGGCGCGGGGTCAGAGGGCCCTGCCCTCATCTGGCGCTCGCGAGGCCGCAGCCGAACGCATCAAGGCATGGATAGCGCAGCAGCCCGCGTGGACTTCACAGTCCTCCAGTACCCTGCAGCAGCAGCAGCCAAACCAGCAGCAACAGCAGCACCAAGAGGCGGCGAAGAAACAGTTATTAACGGATGGACTCGACTGCATTCGCTATGTAGCGGATCCAAGGGTATGTGCTTTGTGCGTTTCTTGCTGTGAAGCACAGAACCAGATACAGAGAAGAGCCAGACACAGAAGTACATAAATACGAATGGCGCGAGCGCTGCCTTCGCGCATATTAGTTGCTGGGTTTATTGCGTATTGTGCGACTGTGTTTGCGTACACCTACAAATGTGTACATACGATATACAAATGAACATGTATTGCATGGATACATACTAAAAGCGGAAGACAATACTTAGGCTCAGGTTATTACTTTTGAATATTGGCAGCCCAGTTAGCACCTTGAGTATCGTCATTGTGCCCATCATTCTTTCGAAATGTTGTCGCTGCGACAGCAGGAGAGGCGCTTCATCGTGCTGCATTTGCTGCTAGTGTTTCTGTTGCAGCCGGGGGAACCGTCGTTGGAGATAGTGGAGAAGGAAAAGGTTCACAGAGAAAATTGCCTCATTTTGTGTCTCGTTCCCCGCATTTCAGACCTTGAAAGTAAGCAGTTATGAAGGGTCAGGGTTTAGGGTCAGCAGGCGAGGGCTTAGCGTTTGCTGTTCAGGGTTTAGAACGTGTGTTCTACACGTGTACCTCAGCGCATACCAGTTCACGTGGGATTTAGTACTCGTGGCTTAGGCATAAGGGTTTAAGGCTTGGGGTTTGTGGTGCCTTGCTGCAGAAGCTGAGGCTGAATTGTCTCTTCTGTCTGAAGTTTTGTTACCGACGCAAGCAGGAGCAGAGGCCTGTCTGCGCTTGGACGTTTTGGATTTATCTTAGCTCCACTGCTTTTTATCAGATTTGTTTTGTTTGTTTTTCGTGCATCTATATTTATGCCGCTTCTACAGCACTGCTGTTTCATTTGGTTCTTGCAGCACATGACTTGTGTGCATGCCGTGCTCACTTTTGTAACTGCATTCACTTTTTACGTGTGCTTGTGCATATTCTTCTCTTTTTGTATGGGTGTGTCCCAGTCTGCCCCTTCTTTCTTTTTAGATTCGCAAGGGACAGATATGTATGGGTTCTTTCTTGTGTTTTGTCCCTCTCCTGTCTCTACTTCTTTTTGTCTTCCGTCGCCGACGCGATCTGTGCTGCACACGTTTTGCCTTACGACCGAAGCATTATGTATATTTTGCAGTCTTACTTTGCGTTTACATTGACGTTGCCATTCGTATTTGCCTGCTTGGTCCAAATGCACATTTGTTATTACTTCATGTAATTTCATTGGATACATAAGATGCCATCATCGTTAGGCGTATCTCGGAATTTTGCTACACACTTGTTTCCCTACCTACCGTTTAACGTGTGTTTTACACTAGTAGTTTGCGTTTGCATTGATGTCCACATTTACATGTGGATGTTTATTTTAGAGTTGCATTTCCACTATTTCGTGTTCCATTTTGTATGGATACAGTACTTCGTATCTGCTATTGTAGTAGTTCATTGTATATTTACATCTACATTTATGATCATATTTATAGTATGTTTATAATGTTGCGTACTTCGCGTTTATACTTGCAAATCACTTTTTTAATAAATATAGCCAAACAATGTTTGGGAAGCCCTCGAGGTTTACCTTTAAATCCGAAACTGTATAACCTAAGGTAAAATTTGTAATCTACAACCTAAACGTAAAGTAGACGCCACACCCTCGAAGAGTGTCGCATGTGTAATCTAGGCAACCACAAGGCTGCAAGACATGTGTGGGTTTGTGTTGTATCGACAGAGAGGCCACGCGTACATTTTGTCGCAAGTGATTTGACGAGTGTTGATGCACTTTGATACACATTTTTCTCATGGGTAGCAAATGTACCTGTGCATCTCGCTTGACCAGATTTTTGCTTAATAATTATTTAGTACGAAGAAGAAATAACTGTTTCCTGTGGCTCTGTCAAGGAGCCGTGTTTCTGGAACGGTACTGCTGCTGCTTCGATACTGCCAACGGTTTGCTGCCACTGCTGCTGCTCATTTCTAGTGTTGTACAGCTTCTGCTGGAGCAGCGCGTTGCCTCCGCTGTTCCCTTCTGTCTGCTGCTGGAGAAAAAAATCATGAGTATGCAATGAACTGCTGCCAAAACATCAACGTCTGTATTGCTGTTGCGCGAGCCGCCGCAGCGAACTTTGCTGCTGCACCAGCGAACGCTTGTGCATTGCTGCTGCCACATCAATGGCAATTTCGAAAAGACGACAAACTTCCTGTGCGCCTTACAATCCCATGCTCTGTTGTCTACAGCGTCTGTTGCCAGTGGTGCTACTGATAGTGTAGCTGCCACGGAGCCGTGTTAGTGCATCTTCTGCCTGACGACGTGAGTCTCCTTGCAGCAGCTTTCGGTCGGCCTACCGGTCTTTCCTCCCTGGCTGCTGCTGCCGCTCGTGCTGCCGCTGTACGCTGTGGTGCTGCTGACGCTCAACTTGCCGATGCTGTTGCTTCTCAAGCTGCTCTTCTTGTTTCTGCTGCTTGACTTTCCGTACCAAGGGATCTTCCGTGGCAATGCGCGATGCAGTGTGCCGATCTGCGGATGCTGTTTGTTGCCGCTCCTTGCTGCTGCATTTGCTGCTCCGTTCTTCGAGCAGAGGGGCTGCGTGCTTCGCCGTGAGAGTACTGTGCCTGGGCGAGCTACTAGTATTTGACGAGTCAGGAAGTGCTACAGCAGAAAGCTCTGCATCCATGTTCTGCTTCTTCACACGCTTCCGAAGCTCCTGAACATTTTGCTGCATGTTGGCCTTAATTGTGTGGCGGCGCATAAAGGCGAAAAATGAATCTATGTCTCCCTTGGTGATGACCTTTCGCGTCCACTCCTGCTGCTGCTCTGTGTTCTGTTCGTGGCGGTGGTTGTGGTGGTGCTCCTGCTGCTGCACCACATCTATGCACGCGCCGGGGACCGACTTGACAAAGGAGACTAGACGCCGCAGGAGGCTGCTGCTTTCCAGCAACAAAGCATCCCCAACTAGCCACAGGGCCCTCTTAGCCCTTGTGAGAGAAACATTAAGCCGCCGTTCATCCGCAACAAACCCTAGCCGACGGTTATTACCTGCTGCTGCTTCTGGTGGTGCTTGCGCCGCCGCTTCATCAGTGGACGACTTTTGCATGGCAAATATATCGAGGGGTAGCTGTTGATGTCCATCATCTGCAAGCCCCCAAGCCCCAGCAGTAGCAGCAGCAGCATCCTGCTGTTGCTGCTGTTTGTGGGTCTGTCCGGGGGACCCCGACCGCACAAAAGATACAATGATCACTGCCTTCTCCCTACCCTGAAATGCATCTACAGTGTCTGTCTCGGGCAGGGTGGCCCCCCGCAGCTCGGGGGAGGCTTTCAACAAAGAGAGAATAAGCTCGGCCTGTGCCCTGTAGGGAGATATGATGCCAACATCAGAAAGCGATAACGACACCTGCTGCGGCTTCTGCTGCTGTTGTTGCTGGAACGTCTTGTGCAAAAGGAGCACCAACTGCGCCACAAACAGCGCCTCGCCTTTATTACAGAATGAAAGTCTGGGACCTCCCAGACCCCCTGACGCCCCTGCTGCTGCTGCTGTTTCTTCTCGCCGAGGAGGGCAGCGCATATGGAAAAAACGAAGGTAAGCCCCTCTGAGAGGGGCCGGCAGCGGGCCTCTTTCGAGAACAGATTTGTCTGTCTCTAGACGTCCCCCATAAAATACACGCCCCTGCATTTCACAGAAAACAACGGAATCTACAGCGCAATTATTGTGCTGTCGCCGAGCAAAAACAACACTGGAAAACGGCCAGAAGGAAAAAGGAAAAGATAAAAAAAAAGCGAAGCAAGTGCTTAGGAAGATACAGAGACACGGGAAAAAAACGCTGTCACTGACATTCATAACTACTTACGGGGAACTCTGCAATCAGCGGATGCATGCGGTACTGCGTGGAGAGGAAATAAAACGCAACATCTTCCCGCTCCTGTTGCTCCTGTTGCTCCTGCTGCTGCTGGCAGCACAAAGCCAATCGAGCCATAAGGCTCCTGCCGAGACCTTTGGTTTGGGCAGCAAAGGAACAAATGAGGGGCGGCAGCTGCAGCGGGTCGCCGAATAGCAGCAACCGATCGCAGCGAAGACGGAGCGGAATAAGGCTGGCCACTTCTGTGGCTTGGCCAGCCTCATCTACAATGGCATACGCAAAATGAACACTACTGCTGCTGCTGCTGCTGCTCGTGCCGCTAGTGGCGCTGCTCGTTGTGAGGGGCCTTTTCCCTCGACCTGCCTTGGTGGAGCCAGCTCCTGCTGCTTCTGCTGCAGCTGCAGTCGCTTCCAGTGCATCTGCCTCTGCGTCCTGCTCGTTGATAGGGTCTAGAGCCTCCGAGCCGCAGCCAGACAAGGTAGCAAAGATTATATCTGCTGAGGCAACTAGCTGTTTCCGCACAAGACGCGGCAGAGAACCAAGACGGGTTTGCAAACCCCGCCGCTTGCGGTGCAGCAAATCGCCAAGTTGCCGCTTCTCGGCAAGCTGCTGCTGCAGCTGAAGGTTCAGGCTTTCTGCACTCTTCTGCTGCGGGGGCGGCCGTTGCGATGTATCGGACACGACAGAGGAAGCAGCGATGCTGCTGGAGGAGGGAGAAGACGCATTGCCTCGATTTAAATCGTTGTTACTGCCGCTACTGCTGCTGGTCCCGGCAGCAGCAAGAGCTGCTGCCTCTTCTGATTGGCCTTCTTCTCTGAGGATATGCGCGGCAGCCTGCAGCAGCTGCTTCTGCTGTTCTTTGCGCTGCAAGAGGATCTGCTGCTGTTGCTGTCGCTGCTGCTGCTGCTCGATCGCGTCTATCTTCCGCTGCACCTGTTCCCGCCGCTGCAGCAGCACACTTGTTTCTTCCCCGAACTGCTGCCGCAGCAACGCCTCATTTTGCTGCAGCAATTTGGAGTAAGCCGAGTCGTAGCTGATGGACCGCACAGAAGGCCGTATTCTATCCGGGTGCCCTGATGCGGCAAAGCACAACACCAAGCCCTAAACCCTAGACTTCGGAACTGAACCCTAAGATGTAAACCCCTAAATCTGGGTTATTTCGTCGAAACTCCATACCCTGGACCCTACACCATCAGCCTTATCCCACTGACTTCACACTCTCGAGTTATGCAGCCTACAGCCTGAAGTGGCTTACCCAAACTTTGCACCATGCACTCAGTTATGACACGTATGCCTTAACTCCTAAAGCCAAGTATACATTGCGAACCTTGGGGAGAAAGTGAATTAGATGCACCTGAAACGTTTTTTTTAAGGGCAAGGCACTGTTGGGAATACGCCGTTAATTAGCTGTACTCTAAGGGTTTGGGGTTGAGAGATTAGAATTACCGATGCGGAGGCAGACAGGGTGTACATTCTGTCCGGTGTAAGGGTCGACCAGTCCACTTTCAATGATTCTTTCAGCGACTTCGTCAACTGCTGCGTTCGAGGGTGCGCACACGAGGATCTTCTTTCTGCCGTGCTCTGCTGCTGCTGCTGCGGCTGCCGCTGCAGGCGTTGCAGTGATCCTTTCGAAAGCTCGGCCTAGACGTTGCTGCTGCTTTATTTGCGCGTATGCCCCAGCCATTAGCCCCAGCAGTGTTGTTGTCTTACCTGTGCCGGGCGGACCCTGCACAAGGCCGACGGGCGCAGAACCATGTAGTAGCCCCGTGACAGCAGCAGCCTGCAGCAGTAGCATGCAACAGCCAATCATGCTAAGAGCAAGCAAGTACCGCAGGCCTCTGCATCATAACGGGATGCAAGGACAGATACTTGCTGCCAGAAACAGCAGCACAGTTAGGAAGCAACCACGGGCTGTAGTGTATGGCCGGCAAAAGCTCAAAATGTGACTCAGATGCATCCTGAGATACCCCTGAAAAGGAGTATCCTGCAAACGGCACCAAGAAATTGCAAAGGCTCAGCTGCAGGAGCAGCACCATGAAGCAGCAACGAAAGCAAAAGCTGCTGCAGCGCAACACAACAGCGAGATTGGCCCACTTGGGACTTGTTTAGATGGTAGCTGGTGACGAGTTGCTGCAGTTCGTGTGGTTGCAGTTGGTGCCTTTTCAGCTGCAGCTTCAGCACACTGGCGGCCACAGGATACGCTGCAGCAAGATCTGTTGCAGGCTTCAGCGAGTGCGAGGTTAGGCAACTCTTTTGCTTCTGCTTTTGCTGCTGCTGCTGCTGCTGCTGCTTGGATTGTACAGACGTCCGAAATGGGGAAAGAATGGAGGGCATAAACGGGCAAGCGCTGCACTGGTAAAGCCCCATCACCTCCCGCAGCAGCGGTGTGAGGCTCTGCAGCACGAAGAGCCACCAGCTGCTGTTGAGATTCAGGCGCAGCGAATTTATCTGATACAACACAGCAGTACCAGCACAAATAACAGTAAGAATCGGATCGCTGGCCTCATGATGCAATTGCGCCATCCACAGTAAGCAGCAGAAGCAGCAGCGGCAGCAGCAGACAAGCGTGAAAGCAGCTCAACGCTGTCACAGAAAAAAGCAATCGTGTTCTTTCTGTTGCTGCTGGGGCTGCTTCTGCTGCTATTCCCACTGCAACGCAGCAGCTGAAGGCGCCTCGCAGGCACTTGCGACCTCCAGCAATGCGCGCTAAAAGTATCTCCACAGCAGCACAAAGCAGCAGGTAAACAGTAAAACTACACGAAGAAGCAGCAGCAGCTGCCGTGTCCCGCGTCTGCCGCTGCTTAGCTCACCCTTTGAGGCTCCACTGACGCAGTGACAGAGGCCCCCAGCACCAGCCTCACCAGCAGGCCCTCCTGGCGCTGCTCTTGGCTGCCCCAGTACTCAACTACACCTGCAACGGCAGCAGCAGCAGTAGCAGCAGCAGCAGTAGCTAGCAGTGGTAAGGCCACGACGCAAAGTCTAGTCCTCAAAGGAAGGAGGCACAGCCCCTGCAAAGACACTGGCCGAAGACCAGGGCGCAACAAGAAGCCGACACAGCAGCAGCAACAGCTGCAGCTCGTGTGCCTTGAGAAAAACCCAACTCACCAATGGTGTAGCCGTTGCGCGGCCTTGCTGCCCGCTCATCGATGAGTCTGCCGCACCAGCTGCTGGCGGTTTCGTTTTGCTGGGGCTTTCCTGCTGCTGTTGCTGCTGTTTCCTCAGCTCTAAAAAAAGGGCTTTCTGGAATCAGCAAGAGCAGATCTCCAGGCCTGATGATCGCTCCCTCTCCCCCTGCAGCAGCTGCATTCGCAGCTACAGCCGCGGCTGCTGCTGCTGCGCCGGATTCCCCAGCAGGCGTCGCCGCCGCAGCAGCAGCAGCAGCAGCTGCAGCAGCTGCGGCGCCCGTTGAAAAGGTTGCACAGCTCCATTGTGTTCCCATAGTTTGCAGGCGAGTTAGCACACAACGCTGCCCCTTTAGTCGATTTTGTCTTATGCCACAACGCAGCCCGTACAGACACTCCAGCAGCAGCAACGGGAGACTGCCTCTGCAGCACGACAAAACACACAAAGCAACCGAATGAGACTCAGCAAATGCACACTGCGCGGACACACGGTGCTTCTCTAGATTAGCTTTTATTAGATACAAATGCACGAGCTAGAGGGCATTGGCAGCCTCTTCCACCGCAGTGCAGCAGCAGCAAACGAGCCCTGCAGCGCGCCAACCACCAGCAGCAGTGGCGAAAGATGCACATAACACCCACAGCAGCAGTAGCACAACAGCACTGGCTTACTGTTGCAGATTCTGCAGCGAATCAAAGCGCAGGGGCAGAGGGTGTGTCTTGGCGACCGCCGCAAGTGCAGCGACCTCCGGCTGTAATCTTTTGCTGCTGTCTTTTGCTGCTGCTGCTGCTGCTGAGAGAGGCATTTCTTGAGCAGAGGACGCAAGGGAGAATATGTCCGTCTCCAGGAGGCTCCACAAGAACCCTAACAGCGCAGCACGAGCAGTCTCACTCGCCCTCCGCTGCTGCTGCTGCCAGCAGCGCCGCTGCCACCGCAGCAACTCCACAACTTGTCGTGTAAGCTGCTGGGGGGTAGCGCAGCGTTTGGTGCTGCTGGCGTCATTGGTGCTGCTCTCTGCTGTGGCCGCAGTAGGAGACAACAGGCGCACACTGGGGCGCGCATCCACTGGGGGAGGGGCAGCAGCAGCAGCTGCTGCTGCTGCAGCTGCCCGCTCCCTGAATCTTGCGTTGTTTCTTTGTCTTTCTGCTGCTGCTGCTGCAGCTGCTTGCTCTGTCTCCACTTCATTGAGTCGCTGCCTCTTGGCAGCGTTTACTGCTGCAGCTGCGTCTGCTGCTACACAGCGAGAAGCGCTTTTCTCGGAACGTGGGATTGCAGCAGCTGCTGCCTCTCTGTGGGCCTCCCTCCGTATCTCTTGGAGCTGCTTGCTCCGCTCAGACGTTGCGCTGCTTCCTCCGCTGCTGCTGCCAAATAAGCCTAAGTGCTTCTTTTTGAAGCTGGATTTAAAAAGAGTGCTTCTTAGGCTGCTACTGCTGCTGCCGCTGCTGCTGCTGCTGCTGCCGCTAGTGTAAATACAACTGCTGCGACCACTCAGGGCACCTACGCGCCGCGCCAGCAGCCGCTGAGCCGCCTCTTTGTACCACTGCCTTTCTGCTCCCAGCGGTTTTCTTGCTGCTCCTGTTGCTGCAGCAGCAGCTTTCAAAGGCTGCGCTGCGCGTCTAGCAGCAACGGCCGCTGGGATGCTAGCAGCAGGAGCAGCACTGCCAGCGACAGCTGCAGCAGAGCGCTTCTGCTGCAGTTCACGTTCCGGCTTTTCTGGGGGCTTCTCTTCTACGGACTCGCTGTCACTGGAGAGCGAGATGAAAGACACGCGTCTCTCTCCTGCTGCAGATGTTGTAGCTGTTTGCGCTCCCGCTGCTGCTGCTGCTATTTCTGCTGCTGCTTCCACCGCTTCTGCCGCCTCCGCTGCTTCTGTTGCATCGGGTAATGCATCATCTTCGCTGCTGCTGGAACAAACAATTGCGTCCGCTGCTAGAGCTGCATCCCATATATCCTCCTCCGAGAGCGCTAGAGTGTCGCTTGATTTCACTGGCTGCTGCAGTTGCTCCAGTTGCTGCAGTTCCTGCCGCTGCTGCTGCTGTTGCTGCAGTTGTTGCGCTATCCACTGGCTCTGGACAGCTGCTGCTGTTCCCGCCGTATGTACAGCGTCTGCCTGCTGCAGTTGCTGCTGTTGCACTTCTTCAGTAAACAGCGAGAACAACTCTGCATCCTCTTTGGTCTCCTCCAACTGGAATACCCAAGAAGGGCAGGAGCCGGTGCTAGCTTCCGCAGCAGGTACCGCAGTTGCTGCTGCTGCGGGCTGTGCTGCTGAATAGTCAGCTGCTGCAGTGGCAGCTGCAGCAGCAGCGGGGCCTGCTGCTGCCTCCAGTGCTGTACCTTCCTCTGAGTCCAAGTCGTGCACCTCCACAATAACTTCCCTACCTGCTGCGTCCTCGGGGCCCTCGAGGGCCCCTCGGAGGGTACTTGGGGAGCCCGGGCTACAGCTGGGGCCCCCAGACTCCCTGTCATTCTCAGCCTCTTCCGCTGCTGCTGCTGCCGCCGCTGCTGCTGCTGCCTCAGCGAGGTGCAGCTGTGTCAGCAAACAAAAGCGAAGTCTCGCCTGCAAGGCGGGGTCCTCAGCGCCGCTGCCGCCGGCATTGTCGCTGCTGCTGCTGCTGCTGCTGTTCAGTAACAGCACTAATGGAGGCCCGTCTGCCCCTGCATCTGCAGCAACCGCAGGACGCAAAACAGCAACAAGACCCTCCCCCATCCGCTGCCAGCGCCGAAGCAGCTTGTGCCAGTCACCTCTGAAGGCGCGTGCAAAACAGGTGCCGCAGCAAACTGCAGCAGCAGGCGATGTTTCTGCAGCAGCATCATACGAAGCAACGCAGGGTGAGGGGCTCTGGGGAGGACGCGCGCCTGAAGCAGCAGCAGCAAAGCCACCAGGACCATCACCAAATGTGCTGCTCTTCCTGCTGCTGCTGTTGCTGCTGTTGCCTGTGCTGCTGCAGCGGCAGACTGCCCTTAGCGGAGGGCACGACAGAACCTTCCGAACAAGCTGCAGCGCCTCATTGCAGCAGCTTGCAAAGTGAATCAAAGCTTCCTGCTGCTGCTGCTCTTGCTCCCGCCTCTGCTGCTGTCGAAGCTCGGCCTGCTGCTGTTCTTGTTCAGCCATCTGTGCCTGCGGAAAAGTCTCGCCCACCAGCGTTCCCTTCTCTACGGGCACTGCCGCAGCTGTTTCACCTTCCGTGGCTGCTGCTGCAGCTGCTGCTGTTCCTTGTTGATGCAGGGGCGCATCAACAGGAAGGGGCCCAAGGCTCTCCGGGTCGTCGAGCCACTGCAAGTAGTCATCGTCTACTGCATCTTCTTGCTGCTCATCCTGCTTCTGTTGCTGTTGCTCGTGCTGCTGCTGCTGCTGCTGCTGTTGCTGCTGCTTGTGCTCTTGCTGCTGTTGCTGCTGCGCCTCCGGCTGCGGCGTACCTGTCGTGTGATGCTGCTGTGCTGCACCTGGGTCATGCTTTCCTCCGCGTAGGGGCTCAGGCACATTGCCACTCTCGCTGCTACTGCTGCTGCTGCTGTTGCTGCTCCCCTTGTTACTGCTTCTGTTGCTAACAAGTCGCTGCTTTAGCAGCAGCAGCAAGGCCCCCACAGGCAAGGAGAGTGACTGCAGCAGCGACAGCGACAGCGGGCGAGTTGCTTCTCCCCCCAACAGCGGTAGCACTTCTGCGTCAGCAGGCAGCCCAAGGAGGTGTGCGTACACCTGAGAGGCATCCACTGCCATACTGCTGCTGCTGCTGCTGCTGCTGCTGCTGCTGCTGCTGCAGGCCTTGGCGCTCTCACCATGATCTCCTGGTGACTTCGCTTTTGCTGCTGCTCCTTCACCGCGCGAGTCCCTCTTGCTGCTTTCTGTGGCTTTGCTGACACTGCCAGAATCGCAAATGCTGCTGCTGCAGCAGGAAGCCAACACTGCAGCAGCAACAGCAGCACAGCGTTGCCAGGGCGGCCGCTGCTGGTGGCTTGCGGAAACGCGCTGCTGCAGCACTTCCGGCATCTCCTGCTGCTGCTTCAGCACCGTCAGCACAGCCGGGTGCGGCTGCAGCAGCAAAACTACAAACAAACTGTGAAGAGCCCCCACGAGCTGGGAGAAGGTAGAAAGCTTTTCCGGTGATGCATCCAGCAGCAGCCGCCCCTTGGCCGTTGGCATCGGATGCTGCTGCTGCTCGTTTTGCTCCAGGCTGCTGCTGCTGCTGCTGCACACTAAACTGCAGCAAGAAGACGCAAGAGCCTTCAGCCAAAAATCGACAATTCGCAGCAGCCCGCTGGGGCTCCCGAGGACCTCCTCGTTACTGCAGCAGCTGCTGCTGCTGCTGCTACTCCAGCCACCCGCAGCAGCAGCAGCGCAGGCTGCCGGCTGCAGCTGCTGCTGCAACAAATGCAAGTGTGTGAGAGCTATTGAATGAAGTGCGCCGCAGCAAATTGCGCGGAGGCACAGGAGGGAATGTGTCTGTAGTGACAGCAGCTGCGGCAGCAGCAGCTCTGGCAGCTGCTGGGAGAGCGCAGCAGCAGCAAACATGCACTGCAGCGGGTCAGGCAGCAGTGGCAGCAGCAGACAAAGTGAAGATAAGCTAAGGTCTGCCACGTGTGGCTGTTGAAGTAGTAGCTGCAGCAGCTGTTGCTGTTGTTGTTGTTGCTGCTGCTCTGTAAGCGCATGCAATTCTTTCGCTTCTTGCTGCTGGTCAATCTCTACGAAAAATTCATGCGTCTGCTGCCGCTGAATCTTCTGCCGCTGCTCTTGCTGCAGCAACAGGAGTTGCTGCAGCAGCGCATGCAGGCCTGTAGTTTGCTGCTGAAGCAGCAGCAAGTCCTCCCTAGACCCTCCATCGGGAATCCAAGCAGGAAGGCGTGGCCTTCTGCGCGCTTCGTTTGCCCCCAGCGATGTGCTGCCCGACTGCTGCTGCTTCTGCTGCTGGGAAGGTGGCTGCAGCAGCAACTGCAGCAGCAGCGGCACTGAGATGCGCTCGGACAGGAAGCACAGCAGCACATTTGCTGGCGTTTCTGTTCGAGCACTCAAAAGGCGGCTGGCAGCCATCAGCAGTTGCACTACTGTGGTTTCAGCGATTGTGTTGCTGCTGCACCTGCTGCTGCTGCTGCTGCTGCGCCTGCTGCTGCTGCTGCTGCTGTACGAACAAAGGTGCTCCTCGTTCCCCGCCGCATCCACAGGTCCACGTGGCTCTGCTGCAGGCAAGCCTAGATCGGCTAGTGCAGCAGCAGCAGAGGGCGGAGCGGCTGCTGCTGCGCTGCTGCGGCGCGGCCTGCTGCTGCTTAGAGTGTATAGACAGCGCATGAGGCGGCAAAGGTCGAAGGCTAGCCATTCTCTGTAGAGATAAAGTGCTGCAGTTTGGTCTCTGCTGTAACAGGAGAAGGAGCGCAGCAGATCATCTTGAGCCCCCAAGTAGCAGCAGCAGCAAGAAGCACACTTCACCAGAAACCACTCCAGCTGCTGCAGCCAGTTGCCTTCTACGTCGCGGGCAAACGCCAGCAGCAGACGCCGGACGTAAACCTCACGGGGCAACGCCAAACCGTCACTGCTGCTCGTGCTGCTGCTGCTGCTGCTGTTGCTGCTGCTGCTGCACATGAAGCATTGTTTGTCTCGGTTTATGTAGGCCGCCTCAAGGGCCTCAAGAGCTGAATATACTGCGGCATCGACTTCGTCAGAGTCCCCCAGATTCGATATGCAAAGAAGAGCCTCGGGCAACTGCGGGGGCCCCTGGGGAGACAGAGGAATTACATCGCCATCATGGGGGGCCCACATCCTGTTGCTGCTGTTGCTCTCGCCCCCGCTTTGAGTCTGCTGCCGCTTCGGAGGCAGGAGGAGCAGCTCCTGCTGCTCCCCGTGCTCCTGCGGCGCCAGGTTGGGGTAGGTTTGGGGCCTTGAGGGCCCGCGTCATGGGAACGGAGGCAGCGGCGGCGGGTTGAGTTCTGGGGGGAAGAATTGACTTCTAGAGGGTAAAAAGGGAGCCTTGATCGCCTTCAAAAGAGAAAAGTTGGAGCACGGAAGCTTGCGGAGAGGTGAGAATCGAAGAGACGCCCCTGCTGCTGGAATTGCTGCTGCTGCTGCTGCTCCGTTGTCGGCAGAGGGGCCCCCAAAAAGGCGTGGTGTTCTACGGAGGCCCCCATAGCCCGAAGTGAATGCACAAAAACTACCCTTGCTGCTGACTCCTTTCCATTTTGCTGCTGAAGCGAAAAGACGGGAATCTGTGCTTTCTCGCGGTGTTATTCACTGCTGCTGCTGCTGTTGCTGCTGTTGCTGTTACTCGTGCTCGCCTGGTCCTGCTGCTGTTCTTGCACTTCCTGTACCATTGCTTCACCTGTATCTGTTTAAAGGGGGTATTTTAAACACGATTTTGACGAGATACAGCTATTGAGTTGGTCCTTCTCCTCCCCTCTGGCTGCCCCACTCAGGTGGCCTCATCGGGGTAATGATCCTGCAGCGTTATCTTTCCTTGGTTTTATGGGCTCTTGAATTTCTGCAGTTTACAGAGAAGCACAAAAGAAGAAGCTACTCAGCTGATCAGCTGCCTCATCTTTACAAAGCATGAGGTACTTCTCATGTTCGCAAAGCACGAGGCACTGCTGATTAGCTGAATAGTTTCTTCTACTGCGCTTCGCTGTAAACTACAGCAATTCAAGACCTCATACTTAGGCAATCTAGCAACTAGGCTTGAGGCTGAATAGAAAGCAAGAAGACTGGGACTTTCCTCCTCTCCAAATCAGCTGCTTGAATTGGCCCCACAGTTAGGGGAGCCGGGCTGTTCCCGTATGTTAAGAACCTTCCTGAAAGTGCCTAAGTTAGGCAGATATATACCGAGTTCCTTGCGCAATGCTTTAGCATGAAAACGTTTTAGTACAAAAGAATTCTTTCGGGTTCGCTTCTTAAAGATGCCTCATGATTTATAGGTCTGGTCGTAAAGCCAAGACCGTCCTAGTTTGCCTGCTACATAGCATTCCACGTAAGTAGCTTACCGAGAAATGGTGTGGGTAACAAGCTGGCGTTTGGTTGACTAGGCCCCAACTGCCAGGGGTGAGGCAGCTTAGCAACTTATGCAAAGGACTGATGATTCTTCGTGCGACTAAAGCTCTCAGTGGATTCAACAAGACTTCGGTAGCACTACGTATCCACTCGACTAGTTGTTTAAGTGCATATCGCCTGCATACAGATTTCCCAACACATAATGAAGAAAGACAGTGTCCCGAAATCTAGAGAAAAAGCACGTCCTGCAAAGTCCACAGTAACATTCACTTTTCATACGCTTATTTGTGTCTATTTAGAATTAACGTCCAACAGTTGCAGCTCCTTTACAAGTGGCATGTGAACAGCAGAATAGTGAAAATGTTTAATATATTGCAAGCCTAGTAGTGAATGCTATAAAAGCTGCTGCACAGGCACTCCGTGGTGGAGGCCGTTGCGATCATCTGTATGGGTGCTGACGTATCCGTCGAACGTACTTGCCTCCCTACTACACACAGGCGTTGCTTCAAATAAACCAGGCAAAACCATTTCTAGTGGCGCTATTTAGGTTACAGCGAGCAGCCCTTTTTGTGGTGCAACCTGCGACAGATTCACTTGGGCCTCGTTTACAACCTCTTCGGTATGGCCTTGCCGTCGGTATCACTCTTTCTTTTGCAGCGACTCTTGGCGTTAACTTTTTCCGTAATTGCTATACGTCAACTAGCCTTGTTAAGCACGGTTTTCTTCTGAAGGGCCACAAAAATCTCGCTGTTCGTAGGACGGAACACAACTACCGTTGTATTTTCGAACGTAGCGCGCAGCTTTGGCCACTCACTTCGTCCAAACTCGCAAGAAATGCCTTTTTATTGCTTAGTTTCGCCTGCAAACGCTCGGAATCTGCGTACTAGGCACACCTTGTTCCTGTGGTGTGCACACGAATACGCCTGCCGCATTAGGTCTACACAGGCTAGCTTGTCGTCAAGTCTTGGACCGTTTCCTGACTCCTAGCCATGTGCCGTTTCCCCAACAGCTTTTCCAAAGAAACTTTGTAACTTAAAATAGTACAATTACCTTTACAAACGCCTTGTATTAAGTGTGCTCAACGGTTCAGCACTTGGCATATTTGGTCAAATTAACTGGTCAATACGAGGCTTCGAGATTGGATGATGTTGTAAATTAAATCATAGTGCACAAAATACTAAAATGCGAAGAAAGAAGAGTGGTTTGTATCAAGTGTAATGGCAAAATTTGCCAGGTATTTTGTCGATCACGTATTTACCTGCATGTGACATTGCTGTGGATTTCTGCTCGGCAAAGAGTGTACAGCCACGCATTACACCAGCCGATGTTAATTCCCGATGAATTTTGAGGTTGTGGGCGAGTTCCTTGGCAGTTTGGGTACTCACCGGATGCAGTTTTTGTTGGCCCTTAATGGGCCTTATTGGTGAGATGCACAGCTATGCTCCTCCATTTTCTCAAGCATCAGCTAGAACCTGGGGATTTTTCTGTCGTGGAAGCTCCGCTCTGGCTGGAAATAGCTGAACGGAGAAAATTCTAGCACACGGAGATAGTCTTCGACATCCTTCGCAAAGCGGTTTATTGCAGGGGACTTCGAGCCTTGGGGTCCATCGGAGGTCCCTACTTATCTGCACTGGCTGGGCCCAATGCCCAGGGTGGACTTACTTAAAGAAACTCGCTAGATTCAAAATGCATGGAGTTTCAGATGTTGGCTAATACCTTTCTCCCGTGAGAGTCAAAGTCTCACGAAATCCTGGAATATTTTTTGAGGTAATGCAGTCAGTCAAAAACACTGTTCATCATATCCACTTCTGGTGAAGCTGCTTTGATGTGGTAGCCCAAAACTTCTACATGGTGCACAAGCATGCATTTCGCTGCAAAGTTGTGCACTAGCCGATAAGCGGCGAGGCAGATGGGCTCCACTCAGCCTGCTGGTGTCTCACAACAAAGACTCGCCGTGTCTGAAGAATGGCGTGTGCCAACAAGCGCTTTAGCTCTTTTCTGTTTGCTTTGCACTGGAGGACTTTTCCTTGATACCGCTTCATTTAAGTGGGAGCTGCGTTGCCCCCTCATGCGCCAGGCAGTACTTGGGAGACGCACACATGGTCAGGGCAACAAGTGGACCGCTGCATAGGCCCCGTGCCCTCTGGAGATAATTTCCTCCTTTTTCTCTTTAATGGCCGAATCTATGGTGAAAACAGTCCGACATTCGAATTTTCCTTCAAATTGTGGACGCAAGGCGTACGAGCATATGTGAACATCGCTGGATTTAGAACAAATCTTCGACCTTTAGAAAGAGTTTTGCATATGGGGAGAGCATGAACAACATCTTAGCAACGCTTTACGGGTCAGAAGCAACTGAATCAGCGGCCGGCATCGCATTTTCTCATCCCTATCTTAGAGACCTGATGCACCCTAAAATTTTTGAGGCCCTATACTGCCTGTTGGCATTGTTGGCACTTCAAGATTTCGCGAAGACCTGGGGGCACAGAAGCAATGTGTTGGCAACAGATTTCCGAAACTTTCTTCGCGGGGGCAAGACCATAAAGTGACTGTTTCGTGTTGATCCATTTTGGAAAGCTATCTTCGCAGCAATTATACTGAAGCCGGTCTTTCCATAAAGCCACACGAGGGGAGGGATCCCCAGGTTGGTTTGTGTGTAAAAGGCAGCTGCTCCGGAGTTTGCCGAGGTGGTGAAAAGGCGGTGCATTGTCCTGTATAATGCGGTGCCAAAATATTATTGTCAGCAGCGTCAGAATCTTCGATTGGCAAGCTGTGTAAAGTTCCCAACAAACAATGTAGTAAACTGCTAACGAAGTGGGGTTTCAAGGAGCCTCGCGACAACTTCACTCGTTCTGGTCTGATGGAACTTAGTGTCAATAGGTCAGTGTCAGTGGCCATGCCTGTGGGCCAGTCTTAGTGCGCACGGGCTCTTTGTAGGCTTGAAGAATCCTACCCAGAAAATCCATCCCGTGAATTCGCAGTTTCCGGCCCTTTGCCGCTTGAGTGCCTCTAGCTAGCGGAAAATTGAGGGTGAAACTAGAGGGCAAAGCAGGCCTTGTCGCCATATGGCTAGGTCTTTTCGAGTATTTCCTATTTCTATTTATTACGTCAATCTACATACGCTGAATTATATAACCCCAAAAGCCATTCTCGGGCTACGTTGTAGTGCGCAGGACACTCAGGGTATATTCGCTTGTTTTTGAGCCCGTAACTCCTCCTTTTGAACCAACCACTATTGACAATGACCGCCCTTTCACCAAAAAAATGATCAAGTAGCTGTGTGAAGCTGAGAAGATCTGCAAGGCCAACGCCTTCATTTACTGTCTCCACAGCTACTGTATCTCTATACACAGTTTGTGGAGCTATTCTGAAATGTTTCTTCCTAGCGGATAGGTGCGTGCATTAGGGGAAATCTGATAACAATTTGAGGGTTTTTGAGGCTCTATCCTCCAGGCAGCTCTTTGCCGTCTAACAGTTCAGTTTTAATCTTGAGTAGGTTTAGGCTAGTGTGCAAGTGGCTCACTGCTGCCCCAGGTGGGCCTCACTGAGAGTCCCGTGGCCGTCTTCCTTTGCAAGTTGAACACCCTAAACACCCAAGCCCTTTTATCTCTGAAGTATCCCGCTTTATTCTGTTTCTGTGCAGTTATTGCAGCAGCAGCAACGGCAGCAGCTGCAGCAGCTGCACACAGTTTCCGTTCTACTGGGAAGCCACTTGCATTATGCTTGGGTTTCTAGTCGCATATTTAATTATTTCTACTTTAGGGATAATGTTGGCTCCGTAATTTTCAGTAAAGTGAGGAAAATAGCAAAGCATTTATTGAGACGACCCTCCCACCTTTCGGGAGATGAGAAACCTTCCGTGAGTAAACAGCTGCACATTTTAGCCAATATTTTGGCTTTTTAAGAGAAATTTGGGTTTTTCCTTTCTTATGGATTTGACTGCATCTGGATTCTTTGCAGTTAGATAAAACTAAAGATGGATTACACTTTTATGCCATTCTGTTTGCTGGCGGACAGGGAGACGGGGAGGTGGCCTGTGCCTTTCTGTGCTGTTTGCTACAGCAGCAGCAGAGAGTTGCTGTTAAAGCATTAGCTGCAGCATCTCTGCAGCTCCTTCAATTACCAGCTTTAGCGGCAGCATCGAAACTGAATTGCTGCTGAAGAGGCCACGTGCACCTGAGTCCGAGTACTCTTCTGAAGGGAACTCTCCGTTTAAGTGGTTGAAGACACATCAATTTAAAAAGCAATTAGTTCTTGTTGCTGTTAATGCACTTTCCTGCGTGTCTGCCGCCGGAAATAAGGCGGCAGAGTACAGAGCACAGAAACTGAATGCGTGGGGCAGCGGTGCGCCCGGTGTTCATTGAACTACTTCAATGCCTTCAAAACATGAAATGCCGCAACTTTTCAACAAATTCTTTCTTGAATTGTAAATTGCTTAGTTATCAATGCTTGTTTTTCATTGAAACTCACCGGCTTCCTGTGCACGCTCACGAGGGCTGTGGGAGAGGGGTGCACGGAATCGACGGTGGCGACGCTAGGTTAGACGAATGGCGGGACAAAGAAATGTCATATTCATGAATTAAATGTTTAGTTATAAATTAAATTCAGTAAAATAATAATTCCAAATGGCTCCAGCTGAGGGACGGGGAATCCTCCCCGCCGTGGCACGTGAGGCGGCTCGCCACGCTGATCCCAGGGACTGAGCAACGTTGGAAGCCCCCACCGTCACATTTCTTCGAATTTGAACTAAAGCCATTTAACATATTTTTCCAATATATTTTAATTGTTTTACGGCTCCAAATAAACCCCCCACAGCGGCAGCGGAGCAAGGGGGGAGCCCACAGCGTTCCGACTCGACGCTGCAAAGGAGGCAGGCTCTCCTCTCTTTGCTATTGATTTGACTTTGTAAAGTTAATCAAAAAGCAAACATTTTCCCGAGTTCCTTCTATGTTGTGTTCTGGAGTGACCCCTAGGTTGTGAGTGCCACCTGGGGAGCGAGTCCTGGTTGGAGCAGCAGCGGCGGCAGAGCCAACTGCAGCAGCAACAACAGCACCAGCAGCAACTCATCTTTCCCCTGCTGCTCCAGGGCACTTCGAAACAGCCTTCTTTCTGTCTTTCCTCTTTCTTTACTTTGGCTGTTCAGCAGTGTCCATCTCAGGCCTCTGCTGCTGCTGCTGCTGCCGCTCGTGCTGCTGCTGCTGCTGATCCAGGTGATTGCTTCACTCGAAGGCAACTGGACTCAGCACACTCAGGACAGCGCGCTGCTGCTGCCAGCGACTTAGACAGCAAATAAACAAGTGGAGGAAGCAGCAGCAAATTAAGCAGAGGCAGCAGCAGCGACCAGCAGCGGAGGGGCAGCAGCAGCAGCAGAGCCCAGCGGCTCGTCAATGGTTTCGCGAGAAGACAAAAGGAAAACGTCTTCAGAACTTTACGCGTCCCTTAGACGCTCAAACCGACAAAACCCTAAACACTAAACCCTTACGTTCCCTCCCCAAACCCCAAACCCCCAAGTAGGGTTTGCTGAAGTGACCCTGCACAGCCCTTTCAGCTATTTCGGCTGCGGGCCTCCTGCTGCTTCCCCTTTCAGCCTTTTACTCTCTGCAGCAGTTTGCTGCTGCTTGCTGCTGCTGCTGCGCCCTGTCTCCTCTGCTGCGTGCGCGTCTCGGTGGTCTTGCTGCTGCTGCTGCTGCAGCGTTGCTGCACTTTTGCCTTCCTTTGTTTTTTTGCCTTTTCTCATTTTTTCTTTTTGCTTTTTTTCTCCTCTTTTTCTTTTTTGCTGCGCCCGAGCTGTTGCTGGTCTCGCCGCTGTTGCTGCCTCCTTTTTGCTGCTTCTTTTAAATATTTTAAATCTTGTTTTCTTTTGTCTTCAGACGGAATTCGGATCTTCCTTTTCTTTCCTTGCGTCTCCAAATGTCTCTCTCGAGCGCCTTCCTCGGGAGCGCAGCAGCTGCTGCTGCGGGAGGCGCTTTGCTGCTGGCCCCCGGAGCAGCAGCA